GACCCTTGTTTATATAAATTTCTGCCGTATTAGTTCTTATTTTTACTACAAGCTTTCGTCTGTTCCTACAGACATCTTCAGGTATAGAATAGATGTTGTTTATGTTTTTACACTTAGTAATAAGAGGACAACGAAAATATATGTATTGTTGTATCCGAAAATGCTATTGAAAATGAGTTATTGTTTTTGGAACGCACAGAAGCAAGGAATTGTTTGCGATGATGGATGTCTCGCCATTTAAATCATTAACCTTTGCATTAGTTTTTGTGTGAATAATTCATGTATTTGTAAATTGATTGCGTTTATATATATATATATATATATATATATATATATATGTCATTAAATAGCGACGTCAGATAAAGATGGACGTCATTCACGGTGTTGAACGCATTCAGACGAATCCCAACTCTCAATTGTATAGAATATTCTCTGATCAATGATTAAAAAATATCTCCGAGCGAATGAAGCGTGTAAGTCTTAGAGAGGAGAGAATCCTGCATCGAACATCGTGGACTAGCACTACAGAATCCCGAAGTTCTGTACCAAATATCAAAAACCGCATCACTTGAGGACTTTCAACACTAGCTTTTCATATTTCTACAATACTTCGAAGAAAAGCTGAAATAGTAAACTTTCATCAATACAAGAAGTGGTGATATCAGTGCACTTGAAAAAAACTATTTTCAAAAATTAAGCATTATAGTAGAAAGTTTTTATAAATTTTTATAAATTTATTTCAGAAGTAACGCTGGTTATTCCACCAACGAATCCACGATATCAGCTAATACATAGACACACACACACATATGCACACACTCATATATATAACACATGTGTATATACATATTATATATATATATATATATATATATATATACATTTACATATATACATATACATATATATATATATATATATATATATATATTATATATAAAATACACACACACAAACATATATATATATATATTATTTTATATTCGCAGTATAAAAGCGCTCAATATCAATGATAGAGCTATCATATTCAATTGTATGGCTATGAAATATGACCCTATTTATATGTGAACTAAAATGTGTATACCTGTATGTATGTATGTTTGCGTGGGTGAGAGTGTCATCTCAAACGGATACAGTGCATCTCTCTATACCAAATATCATCAAACACAAACAAGCATAAATAGATTAAAAAAAAACCTGTTTATCTGATGATTGCAAAAGCATTTAACCCAGGGTCACAAACCCATACCAATACAACTGAATATATATATATATATATATATATATATATATATATATATATATATATATATATATATATAAGTACATATATATATATGTATATATGTGTGTGTGTGTGTTTGTGTGTGCGTGCGTGTGTTTGTACGTATATTTAGGCAGCATATCTTCATTCCAACATGTCTATTTATTTTTCTTTTAATCCTTTCCAATTCGCCAATCAATTTCTTAATGTTGGCATTAAACTCATTAAGGAAGGCGCCGTAGTTTTTGTCATTCCTTTAATTTTCCCAAATAAGTTCAATATCACCCAAGATCATCTTCAGTTGCAAATTGCTAGGACAAAAACTAATGCAATAGATAGTTGCCAATTTTTCTTTTGAGTCAAACGGTCACATTAAAAAAGAAGTTAAGTTGATTTATTTTTGTAATTATTTTTAAAGAATTAAAATTCAACTAATTTTTTCAAAAAATTGCTGTTGTAAGCATTTTGAAACATATTTGCTATACTCAAATTAATCTTATTTAGTGGTAGTTGTAATTTCTTTATTTAGAAGTTTTCATGCATTTGATATTTTTTCATTTTATTTTCATGGTGGAGTATAATTGTATTGTCAATTAATATTTCTTTAAATCGTGAATCTGGACAAGAATATTCCTTGAAATAATAGGCTATGAAACTTGACTATGTCATGTATAATGCAAGCTTCCTCGATAAAAAATTACAATTATAGACTACGGTCACTATATAAAAGATGAATTCCTTCTTATAGGTAATAATTATAATAATAATAATATATTTTAGGCTGCTTTGTTGATGAGACTGTACTGATCTCTCCAAGTCGCTGTCATGACCGATGGACGATGAGCTACCGAGACTAAATGTACCCCACCTCTTGGTATTACCGGCCAGATACAAAGGAATACTGGACATTATATTTGAGGTCGACTTGTTAGTGATACTGTACAGACCTCACCACGGCGCAATCCTGGCCGATGTTACATTGGCGCCATGCGCTACTCAGACTACATGCCCCCACCACTCGGCATTACCGAGCGCATCCAAAGGAATGTAGACCATTATATTTGAGGCAGGCTTGGTTGCTGGAATTGCAGGAAAGTTGATAATGTTGGCAGACATCTCTTTTCGGGTTTCCAATTTTCTGTCTGAAATTACTTCCATGGCTTTTTCCGTAATAGGGAGAGAATACGATGCTGAGAAAATAATAATAATAATAATAATAATAATAATAATAATAATTTGCAGAAATGATGGTGAGGTAATCCTCTTTATGACCAATACTCTGGCCTTACAATACCATGTAGACAAATAATATAACAAATCCCGTACCTCTCAGTTCAGGATGAAAAACTCAAATCGGAGGTTTTATTCTTGCTGAACAGGACCAATGCTTTGTTACTAGAAATTACACAACAGACACTGAAAAATTGTGTTAACCCAAATACAGATTATATGATAAATATTCAGAAACAATTGACCATCTAAAACTCGGGGAGGACATCAAATCATATAATATAAAAGAAATAATAATATAAAACACAAATAACTTTATAAATTTATTGGTTAGGCAGCATGATCTTCAATTCTTAGGAATGAAACAAAACGCATTATTTGACGCAAATAAGCAAACATCATATTAGTAAATAGATGATATCTGGCTGTTAGTCATAGCTTTTGGATTAAGACCAACGGAAAACTGAGTTTCGTCCTCTGTGGAACATTATCAGGCCAAATACAAGGTTTTAATTCTGAAACAAACAAGTATTTATATACAGGAGCAAAAATGTTATTGGTTTTTTAATTTTTTTTTAATTTAAAAACGCTCATAAATATTCAGCAGGTTAACCGAAATGTCTAGGTAAACTATTGATGACACGAAGTGACACAATTCAATGTGTAATAAAAGAAAGTGAGTAAATGCTGTTCTTGATATTTTTTAACACAAATTAGAATTTCAATTATTTTACTTTGAGATTAATTTATGTGTTATATAATTTAAATAAAACGAGGCTATGAATTTAACCATTTCCTTTTAAATTTTTGTAACATTTTTATAGTTTATATCTGTTGTTTTGTAACTCTTTCAGGAATGCAGATATTTGAAAAAAACAGGGGCGCACATTTATACTTTGATAAGATTCGATAGTGGCACTCTCGAGAATTTTCCCTGTTAGTAAGTGATGTAATGGAATAACCAATCACCACCCCACCCCGAATGATTTACACTATAGGTAGCAAGTACCTATAAAATCAACCGTCTACGAGAGACTCGGACAGGGAGGAGGAGCATGAGAGTGAGACGACGGAAGCACGTCCGATCTTCCAATTAGTGGCACTCACTATTAGATTGACCTGTGTATATAACTGTACCGTATTTCATATTGTACTTGTTGTGTACAATAAACCTTTCTTCTAGTATCCACCTGATTTTATGTGTTTATTCCCTTAGCACGGAATATAACAGTAAGTTACATTCTCTTTTAATGAATCTGGTATTTTTTAGATTGTGTTTTGTTAATTAAGTTTTGTATGTGTGTGTGTGTGTGTGTGTGTGTGTGTGTGTGTGTGTGTGTGTTCGTGCGATATAAGTACATACTGTTGGCATACTTTCTACTATTTCTAGGAATTTTTCTGGCTTCACAATATGCATTGGTAATGTGCGACATAGAAAGGAGTTCACATGTGACAGCGCTTCTTGGAAGACCTTATATTCTGATGAAATTGCCGTGTCTAAGCTCCGGCTAGGAACTGAGATATGATCATTATCACTCAACCTAAATATCCAAGAGCCGAAGAAAATCGAAATAGAATCAGTTTAAAACACGGCATATTATTCCTATACAAAAGCTGAGAAATGAGTGTTCATCTCTAATTCTTTATTTTATCCCAGCAACAAATTATATTGAAAATAAGCATGGCTTCTTTTAAATATCAGTGCCCTGAACGGCTTGAGCAATCACAGCTTCACCCAGTTCCCGTTTCGTTATTACCAGTAAATTATCGTGAACTATGGGGAAATATAAACGAATGGTTTTCTGTAATTATTCCCAATGTTTTGAATTCAGAGTTTTCCTTCTCTTTGATTGGTTGCCACCCAAATTAAAGACAACCAATTCTACTATGCTAAATATGGAAAGATTAATTCTTGACTTTCCCAAGGGCTTTTTGGGCGAAAGTGAACGCAGCCGCCTTAGCTGCAATCTGGATTCTAGTGGTTGACTTTGAAACATCGGTCCCCGTGCGTTCGCCGAAGTTTAAGAAAGATGGGTGACCACTTTGAATTTCAGTTGCAGAAAGCTTGGATTTTCGCCTGGTGTAATGGAAAATGTTTTGGAAAGGTTAATCGGAGAGCCGTGTTCTAATTCCCGTTGGGTTAATTATGTTCACTTACGGGCAAATACAATTTACTACTACTGCTACTGATGCGGCATTCACCCTGGGCGAATTGAGCCGGCTTCTTCCTGTTATGAGAAGAAGATTCTTGGGATAAATTACAGAAGTAGGGTACCCAGGCCTACTCGGATAACGTTCTTGCTTGCCGCGAGATTCTCACAGACGCAGAGACAGGAACGACCAGAAGCCGACGGTTACCGATGCAGACGCTCCTTGGATTTTCACCAGAGCCCTTGTTAGCCGGCGTGTGTGTCAGACCTGTCCGCCGAAGTTCCGGGCGGCATAGCTCTGACACTACCGCTTACACCCCCCCACCGACTGTGAGGTAAGGGTTGGACTTTGGGGGCTTACAGTACCAGGTGTTCCCAAGCGGTCCCCCATCTAAGTACTGACCTGGCTCTACGATGCTTAACTTCGGTGATCGAACGAGAACCGGTGTTTCAGCGTGATTTGACCGTAAGCGCAAATACAATTTGGAAAAAAGATATGAATCCACCTCTTCTCCCATGTAGAAGAATCACGTTGTCAAGATAGAATTTGGAAAGATATGAATCCACCTCTTCTCCCATGTAGAACAATCATGTTGTCAAGATAAACACTCAGTTGTGGAACAAGCTGAGAAAAAGACCCCTGTACCTTGAAAAAGAGAGCTATTTATGGTTCAATGGAGCATCTCATTGTGCTCAAGTGGGATAGTCCATTGCTTGGGCTGTGATTGGCTGCTGGTACATAAGTGGAGGTATTTCTGTAAATAACAACTTGATTCCAGTCAGTTTTGCGGGGTTTGTATTGAGTTACAACCTGCTTTATTTTTTCTGCCAGCTGGACGCTAGCTGTGACCCTTATGTCGGTAAATGTTGTTTTTCTATTGTTATTCTGCATCCCACAGCTATGTATTAATTTGTAAGACTTGAATCACTAAACCATTATTACCTCAAAACATCTTTTACCATGTAAAAAATATATATTTTCTGGCTTTAAATAACCAGTAAAGAGTTGATAAGCTTTAAAAAATCAATCAATCAAACAACATTATTTCTTAGTTTCGAGTAGCTCTTGGGCCTTCTACAGGGTGATCGTTTATTTTTTGTAAAGAAAAAAAGAAAAAAAAACGAAAAATGTCAATCCTTGATTTAAATTATTCATGCTTATGGGCAAACGTAAATACACACAATTTGAAATAAATTGAAATGAAAATCTTTGTCACGTGGGTTAATTTCCGTATTTGTCTGGTAACAAACCGTGGAAACAGGAAAAGCCTATATGTAGTTATTGTTATAATTGTCCTTGTGCAACTAAAATGGATAAGCAATATAACCTCCTCGCCGAGTTTTGGTCATATTTTTTTTAAGCATTTCACCCCAAGCAAGGCGAGAAGCCACTAAGACGCAATGGGTTACAGAAAATTTAGAGCAAGATCAGATAGGAGTGATAGAAGAAAGGATGAGGGTAGTGGATAGATCAAGGCAACTGGAGATGTCGATTGACATTACACTTGAATAGCTGGAGATTATAGCTCACAGGGAAACGACCTTGTTTTGTGCTATCTCTGCGAATCCCTAATCTGTCAACCATTTACATAAGTATGTTTAGTCGGTGATTCGCTTCTGCCTTTGGTACATCTTGCTTGGTATCTACCCTGTGAGCGTCGAATTTTCTAAGCCCTATTTCCTCATTATGCGCCCTAGATATTTCAACTGACTTTCTATAATTCTATTCATAAGTGGCATTTTTGTTTCTAATTTCTTTAAAACATCATAATCGTTTACAGTTTCTTTTCCATTAACTTCCAAGTAGGAGTATCGATACTCCATAAAAGTCCAGTACAATTTTCTTTGTTTCTGCTCCTTCAAATCTCTTCTTCAATATGTGATGAGATGTTCCATCATTCACTGACATATAGGAGTATCGATATTACGTAACAGTTCTCTTTGTTTCTGTTGGTTCAAATCTCTTCTTAATCAGTGATGATATGGTCCATCATTCACTGCCATATAAGAGTACCGATATTACATAACACTTCACTACTCTTTTCTTTATTTTTTCTCTTGCTTTAAGTCTTTTGTCCATCTGTGATGAGGTAGCCCAACATTCATGTCATATATAACACGGGCGGTGTGGATCGATTGTTTTCACGCGAGTCTGTATTGGCGTCAGTCAATCGATAACCATCGGTTGACCGCTTCGTTCCTTTATCTGTTCTTTGATCAAAGTGCAGTGAAGATGTAATTTTCACCCTATTTTGAGCGCTGAAACGAGATGCCGGTACCGTGCTATGAAAAAGAAAAAAAGAATGCTTCAGCCAGTGAAGATAAATGTATCATAAGAAATAACGAAGAAGGCTACTGGGTTAATTTTCAAGGGGTTTATATAATCATTGATACAACAAAATTAACCATTCCCATACGACTCTCTATAGTGACACTGGATTTCTTGCCGATGAAACTTAAAATGGGTTTAACAGTCATATGAGAAATTGGTCGACGGCTGCATGAGTTCAGCAGCTTTTTCGTTGTTGATGATTCGTCTCAGCCTTCTCCAAAGGCAGCTTCTACTACTGACGGACTCCACCGATAATCCGGTTTATATACATCTCGCCCAACTCTCACTACCTTCAGAGCTCATTACTTATTTATCAATTAATTATTTTCTTCCACCCTGGAGACATTACATCGACCTAAAAAAAAAGCGGTCTGGTATTTCAAAACAATAAACTTTGTTTTAGAATTTCTTTTATTTCCAAGAATAATTTCTCGTCAATAAATTTTCGTGTTTAAAAATTCATTTCAAATTGTCAATTTCTTTGGCGATTTGCCTTTTCCAAATACCATTGTTTACATTTTTTTGGCTTTACTTAAATTCGGTCCTCGTCCGACAATGACATTCAAATACCAATACAGTCAACTTTTCAAAACAAAATTATTTATTTCAAGTCGGGAAGCAATTTTCTACTGTTTTACATTTTCGATTTCATAAATATTCTTTTTTGCGCCTCCATATTTTTGGACTTAATATTCTATTCGGAGTTTCTGTTTATTAGAAAGGAAAAACAAACAAACAAAAACGAAAAAAAAACATAACCCTTTTTTTTTCCTGGCTTCATATTTCAATTCATTGGTTTACACCTAAACGTTTTCTTTTTTTAACGTTTTCAACCCATCCAAATAAGGGGGTTTCAGATGAAATCTTTTAATCCTAATTTCATACTACCGGTGTCAAGATAGTGTCTCATTCCTCTCAACTACTACCAGTGAGCCTTTATAGTGTCACACATATAGAAGTACCGATATTACATAATAATCCAGTCCTTTGTTTTCTAACGAGATTTTCCTGTTTCTTAATACATTGCTTTAATTTTGAAAGGCATCTTTCTCCATTCCAATGGGTTTTAGGATTATGGTTTCCCATTTTCCGTCCTCTGTTAAACCATTCCCATATGGTTTGGTTTGGTTTCATTTGTTTTGTTTTACGGCATATCAACACCTCAATATGTTATTTAATGCCGACAAAATTTTTATTCCTGATAATTTATTTTTTAAAACTGGTAATATTTTTTCTTCAAAAAATCTGTTTCTGGTAATATTCTTTTTCAAAAATGTATTGCTGGTTATGTTTTTTTTTTTTTTTTTTAAATGTTGTGCTGGTAATAATTTTTTTTTTCAAAGATTTATTGCTGGTAATAATATTTAGAAATTATTTCTGGTATTAAAACCTATTTTTACACTTTCATTGTGTTTTGACCACAATTTGGGTAGTAACTATTAGGTTGGTGCAAAAATAATGACGTAAGAATGTCGTTTTTTAACGTAGAAAAGTACGTCAAAAACGACATTATTACGTCATTATTTTTGCACCAACCTAATATTTGCCCACAGCTGGGACCCTAACAGGTGCTACCACCAGGGTGGAACCGCGAACACCAGTGATAAAGAGGTGGTTTCACGCTCCTCAAAACCTTCTGCGCAGATGTCATGCTGTTGGTCATAATTTATCATCTTACCCAGGACGCGGATTTATCGTCATACCTAAGACGGCCTATGTATAGACATTTTTTGTAATTAATCGAAATGCACTAAATAAAGCTGAATGCGTGTTTAGCAATGTACGAAGCGACAAAAAACGGTATTATTGCTCAAGTACGTCTTCGATTATCCGGAAACCTTTGGACTGTGATTGCAATATATGTTCAGATAATGCAAAATGTTTCCGCCTGATTTTGCGCGATTAAATTATATGTGTCTCTAAGAATAGCTTTTTTTTGAAAGCGCAACCGGCTTATACATTTGTCAAGCAACATCATTGCTTCGATTTGAAATTGTGCCACTGGGGCTGTAAAACTTCACCCTGGTCAATATCATGTCTCAATCTCATGTTTCAAGAAACAATATGTTTCTTCAGCATAGTCTAGCGCGGTTATAAGTTCAGCAATAACCTCGTCACTGTAAATATTCAAATATTTTAATGAGGAATTACGAAGAATTAATTGAATTGATTGTATCACCGTTTTGAACAAACGTTAAGTATGATTTTTAAATACTCAAAACACTTTTATGATATGAAATGTTAGAATGACTTTAGTTAGCATAATTGAAAAAGATGTTTGAATGATTTAATTTCTCTCTTAATTTCACGTCCGAAAAAGCGAATTTCGGAAAATCGATATCAGGATAATCGAGGAATTACTGTACTACTACTACTACTACTACTACTACTAGTAATATTAATAATAATAATAATTTTAATTATAATAATAATCTCTATTATAATTCTGGTTGTGCCTCTCCCTCGTTAGTTAGTTCCTTAGTTCGTACGTTCGTTATGCCTTGTCAATACTTCATAAAATAATGGACTATTACGTTTTTACCGCGGGAAAATACGGAAGTGATATATCAGTGACGTTACTTGGTTTCAGTGAGGAAATGAAAGGAAGAAAGCAGTTGTGATATAAGTGTTCGACGTTTGTTTCAGTGAAATTGAAAAGTTCTCAATTTCAAATCTTTTTATTTGTAAACACTTATAAATAAATTTATTAAGAAACATATTTGAAAGACAGATTTTCGTCTGGTAATAATAATAATAATAATAATAATAATAAGAAGAAGAAGAAGAAGAAGAAGAAGAAGAAGGACAACAACAACAACAACAAAACAAGAAAAAGAAAAAGAACAAAACAAAACTTTCTAATTCATTCAAAGGTAGGTCTACCCATGTCCCAACTTAGTACCCCAGTCAAAATAACCACGAGTTACATTCAATATTTACGAAAGTAATAATGATGAAATAGACTAAACCGCTCAACTTACTATAGACCGAGTCGTTCAAGGTGTCAAATCTGAAGATATTGAATAATAATGAATAAAGAGACGTGTTGAAAGCGACTGGTGTGTTACCTGTTCGAAGAGTCGGTGTTGTGAAGCAGCTCAATGATAAAGACGTTGGGTGGGAAAAACAAATCAAATC